TGACTTTCGGAGCGGATGCGCGCGACGCGATAGCGAAAACCACGGTTTGAAAAAGAACGCACTTCATCCTCGTGGAGGCCTGGGAATGGGCAGCAACACCAACACAGGGGGTTGCCTCCACAAGGCGAACATCCTAGATTTCGGTGCTTGTGGCAATATTTCGGCCACCTTGGAAGCCAGAATATTACCACCATCGAGATCGGAATATGCTTCCCTCGGTGGAGGCACACCGCCGATGTTGGTGTTGGTGTCAACCTCCAGGCCTGCGATCATTCAGACTTCTGCAGACGTTCAAGACGAACGCGCACGGCTTTGAAGCAAGAGCCGCATCTTGAGGGCCGCCCGCCCTCCATCCGTGCAGCTGCCGCAAACATTCAAGTCGAATGTGCCCCGGCGCTGAAGAGGCGAGAGCCACATGTTGAAAACGGCCCGGGCACGCGGGGCTGCCCCGCACGCGCCCGGCGCCTGCGCGCAAAAGGCGAGCCCGAACACTGCCGACAGCGTACCCGCCACAATCTGAGCTGATGGGCCTGTTTCCCACCACCACCACCACCACAAGCTGGAGGGGGGAGGTGGAGGAGGAGGAGGAGGAGGAAGAGGAGGAGGAAGAGGCAAGAGGGAGGGAGGAGGGAGGGGGAGGAGGAGGAGGACGGCATGAGATGAGGAGGAGGAAGGAGGAGGAGGAGGTGGAGGAGAGAGGAGGAGGAGGAGGAGGAGGAGGAGGAGGAGGGAGGAGGAGTAGGAAGGGAGGAGGAGATGGGAGGAGGAGGATGAGGAGGAGGGGGAGGAGGAGGAGGGAAGGAGAGAGGAGTCCTCCCAGCACACCGTGAACCCGAAGACGAGGTCCGAGGAGCCGCAGGGCCTCCCGGGGTCGTCGGGCGTGGCGGGCGGCCGCCCCACCGGCGGCGTGCGCTGCAGCTCGCGGCCCTCGACAAGCGGGGCCGCTGGAGCCCAGCCGGAAGTCCTAGTGGGCGGCACGCAAGGGGCAACCGTTCCCCTTCCTCCTCGCCCTCCTCCTCCACCTCTGCCTCCTCCTCCTCCTCTCCTCCTCCTCCTCCACCTCTGCCTCCTCCTCCTCCTCCGCCCTTCCTCCTCCTCCTCCTCCACCTCTGCCTCCTCCTCCTCCTCCTCCTCCTTCTTCCATGACTCCTTCCATGGAAGCTTCGGCCACAAATGATGATTTCGCTCTAGCAATGAAAACCGTCGTGTCAACTGCACGATCAAAAACAGGATCAGGAGCAGGCCTTTATGAAGTTTCACTGTGAACCGCACCGAAGATGTCACGCAACTCACAGACCTGCGGCTCGAGCGTGTGGATGCGGGCGTCGCGGGCGTCGACTGAAGTTTCCATGGCACACCGTTGCTCAAGCTGGACGGCCAAGTTGTCGCACGACCCATTGGCCTCCTTGGCAGGGAGTGGCGAACGCAGCTTGTACTCCTTCGAAGGCTCCGAGCACTTCATCACGGGTACCATCGACGTACCTCTTGATGTCCTCTGGGGTTCCTCCGTCCTGAGTTTCTTGGCACCACCGGCGCTGGTGCCTAACATCGCGCAAGCCCTGAGGGAATCGAAAAGTAAAAGTAAAGAGGAGAGGGAAGGGGCCGAGGCTGCCTCCTGCCGACAACACCTTGGGCCCAGGTTTGTACCTCCACGAAGGTAGAAGGGCAATCCCTGAACGGCCTTGAGCCAAAATGGCTACGGACCTCCTGAAGTGGCTACGGACCTCCTCCTCCTCCGCTCCTCCTCCTCCTCCTCCTCCTCCCCCTCCTCCTCCCCCTCATCCTCCTCCTCCGCCTCCCTCCTCCTCCTCTCCTCCTCCTCCATGCCGCCCTCCCTCCTCCTCCCCCTCCTCCTCCTCCTCCTCCTCCTCCTCCTCCTCCTCCTCCTCCTCCTCCTCCTCCTCCTCCTCCTCCTCCTCCCCTCTCCTCCGCTCCCCCTCCTGCCTCCTCCTCCTCCTCCATTTCCTCCTCTCCTCCGCCACTCCTCTCTCCATCCTCCTCCTCCTCCTCCTCCCCCTCCTCCCCTCCTCCTCCTCCTCTCCTCCTCCTCCTCCTCCGCCTCCTCCTCCTCCTCCTCCATCCTTCCTCCTCCTCCTCCCTCCTCCTCCTCCTTCCTCCTCCCCCTCCCCCTCCTCCTACTCCTCCTCCTCCTCCTCCTCCTCCTCATCCTCCTCCTCCTCCTCCTTCCTCCCCTCCTCCTCCTCCTCCTTCCTCCCTCCTCCTCCTCCTCCTCCTCCCCCCCCCCTCCTCCTCTCCCGCGGGTCCTGGCTGCCCCGCCCTGTCGGCCACGCTCAGCGCCCACGGCGCGGAGGCCAGCGCCCAGCGGGCCCCGCAGCCGGGCCCCCGCGCCCCCGGCATGCTCGCAGGCCGGCGGGGCGCCCCTCCGCGGGGGGGGGCGCGGCGGGGGCGCCACGGCGGGAGGCGCCGGGGCCCGAGGGCGCAGGAAGGGGGCGCAGCGGGCGGCGCAGCAAGGGGGCGCAGCAAGGGGGCGCAGCGGGGGGCGGCAGCGGCGGCGGGGCCCCTCTCCGCGGGGCGAAGGGGGGGGGCTCAGCGGCAGGGGGGGGCGCGGCGGGGGCGCAGCGGCGGGCGGGCGGTGCTTCGGGAGCGTGCCAGCGGGTGGCGTCGAGTGGGGGGGGGGTCGAAAAACATGGCCCCAGGCCTGCGCGCGCATCAGGGGTGGGCGGCCTTGGAACGTTTTGAAGTCCGCCGACGCCAAAATCGTGTGAGATATCCTCCCGCATAGACACAGTGCCACCGCTTTCAAAACCTTCGTACGAGTTCTCCACTACCGCCACCGCGCCCAAGCACCTCTACCCCACCAACCTCATTCCTCCTCCTCGCCTCTTCCTCGCCTCGCACCCCCACGCCACGAGAGCTCAGTTCTTGGGACCCCCCACCCAACACTTTCTCGCCCGAAACCGGACCCGACCGCTGCCCCCCCCCCCCGCCCCCACCACGTCCTGGCACCCCCACGCCACGATAGCTCAGTTCTTGGGACCCCCCACCCAACAATTTCTCGCTCGAAACCAACCGACGCCCTCGACTCCCCCCCGCCCCCACCACGTCCCAGCACCCCCACGCCGCCCCCACGTCACGAGAGCTCAGTTCTGGGGCCCCCACCCAACAGTTTCTCACCTGTCACCGACCGACCCCCCCCCCTTCCGCCCCCACCACATCCCGGCACCCCCACGCCAGGAGAGCTCAGTGCTCGGGCCCCCAACCCAACACTTTCTCGCCCGAAACCGACCGACCCCACGCCCCCGCCCTCACCGCGCCCCGGCACCCCCACGCCACGAGAGCTCAGTTCTGAAGACCCCCCACCCAACACTTTCTCACCCGATCGAAACCGACCGATACCCCCCCCGCCCCCACCACCACGTCCCGGCACCCCAACGCCACGAGAGATCAGTTCTTGGGACCTCACACCCAATACTTTCTCGCCCGAAACCAACAACGGAAACTATTCCCCCCCCCCGCCCCCGCCACGTCCAGGCACACCCGCGCCACGAGAGATCCGTTCTTGAAACCACGCCCCGGCACCTCCACGCCGCGAGAGCTCAGTTCTTGGGCCCCCCACCCAACACTTTCTCGCCCGAAACCGACCGACCGCCCCCTGCCCCCACCACGTCCTGGACCACCACGCCACGAGAGCTCAGTTCTTCGGACCCCCCATCCAACGCTCTCTCGCCCGAAACCGACCGACCCCACGCACCCGCCCTCACCGCGCCCTGGCACCCCCACGCCACGAGAGCTCAGTTCTAGGGACCCCCCACCCAACACTTTCTCACCCGATCGAAACCGACCGATACCCCCCCCGCCCCCCCCACCACCACGTCGCGGCACCCCCACGCCCGAGAGATCAGTGCTTGGGACCCGCCACCTAACACTGTCTCGCTCGAAACCGACCGACACCCTCCCCCCCGCCCCCAACACGTCCCGGCACCCCCACGCCACGAGAGCTCAGTTCTTGGGACCTCCCACCAAATACTTTCTCGCCCGGAACCAACGGAAACTATCCTCCCCCCCGCCCCCGCCACGTCCAGGCACCCCCGCGCCACGAGAGCTCCGTTCTTGAAACCACGTCCCGGCACCTCCACGCCGCGAGAGCTTAGGCCTTGGGATCCCCCACCCAACACTTTCTCGCCCGAAACCGACCGACCGCCCCCCGCCCACCACGTCCTGCCCCCCACGTCACGAGAGCTCAGTTCTTCGGACCCCCCACGCTCTCCGCCCTAACCGACCGACGCCCTCCCCCCCCCCCCACGTCCCGGCACCCCCACGCCACCCCACGCCCACGAGAGCTCAGTTCTTCGGACCCCCCACTTAACACTTGTTCACCTGTCACCGACCGACCCCCCCTTCCCACCACGTCCCCGTCACCGCCCTCGCATGAGAGCTCAGTTCTTGGGACCCACCACCCCAATTTTCTCGCCCGAAACGACCGACATCCACCCCCCCGCCCCACCACATCCCAGCACCCCCACGCCACGAGAGCTCAGTTCTTGGGCCCCCCACCCAACACCTTCTCGCCCGAAACCCGCACCACACGACCCTTCCGAACACAATGGCCCGCCTATGGTATGCAATAGAAATAACCCTCATCCTTTGGGAGGGGACCGAAGTCAGGAGGGCCAAAAACACTTGGGAGAAGGGGGCAGCTGTTTTGCATGTGTGTGTGTGTGTGTGTCTGTGTGTGTGTGTGTGTGTCTGTGTGTGTGTGTGTGTCAAACGACGCCACCCATGTGGCTGAGGTGATCCCTCAGAACCGTGGAGCCAAGTCCGGCCACGAACTCTTCGACTCGTCCCCAGACATGCGACGTGGCGTAGTCCAGACCCCTTCCTTGGGACCGGCTTTTCATCCTGAGTCGTTTTTTGACGGTCCCGAGGCCCGGCGAGGGCCCCCAGGGGCCGGAAATTCGGAAAAACCTCCCGCCCTGATTTTGTTGCACGACGCCATCATGTCTGGGTCGGGGCTGCCTCGATCCTCGACCCCCAGGCCATTCACCGCGAGAGCACGGCCACGGCGCGCTGCGCGTCAGAGCCACTGCGCGGGAGCCCCCCGGCGCGCTGCGCGTCAGAGCCACTCCACCAGGCCCGTCGTCTGCGCGGCCTCCTGGAAGCGCTGTTTTGTCGCTCGCTGCTCGTGGGCCTGCGCCCCACGATGCGCCCGTTGTCCACCCCCACCGCCGCCACCAGAAGTTGGAGGGGCAGGGGCTCCTCCTCCTCCTCCTCCTCCTCCTCCTCCTCCTCCTCCTCCTCCTCCTCCTCCTCCTCCTCCTCCCCGCTCCTCCTCCCCTTCCTCCTCCTCCTCCGCTCCTCCTCCTCTCCTCCTCTCCTCCTCCTCCTCCTACTCCTCCTCTCCTCCCCCTCCCCCTCCTCCCCCCTCCTCTCCTCCCTACCTCCTCCTCCATACTCCTCCGCCTCCTCCTCCTCCTCTCCTCCTCCTCCTCCTCCTCCTCCTCCTCCTCCTCCTCATCCTTGTCATCCTCCTCCTCGTCCTCATCCTCCTCCTCGTCCTCCACTTCCTTCCCCCCTCCAAGTTATGGTGGTGGTGGTGGTGGAGAACAGGCCTATCGCCCCAGGGCGGTCCCAGCGCCTCTGGGCCATCCCCCGGCGGGCACGCGCAGCTCCAGCCCAGCCCCGCCGGACATCCGCGCCAGCCACTCCTCTTCCTCCTCCTCCTCCTCTTCTTCTTCTTCTTCTTCTTCTTCTTCTTCTGCTTCTTCTTCTTCTTCTTCTGCTTCTTCTTATTATTATTCTTATTATTCGTATTCGTCTTCGTCTTATTATTATTTGTCTTATTCGTTTTCTTATTCTTCTTCTTATTATTCGTATTATTATTATCATCATTATTAGTATTATTACAACTATTATTCATACTATTATTATCATTATTAGTATTATTACTATTATTATTAATATATTATTATTATTAGTATTAGTGTGATTATTATTATTATTATTCTTGTAATTAGTATTAGTATTGTTATTATGGTTATTATTATCATCATTACTACTATTATTATTATTATTATTATTATTATTATTATTATTATTATTATTATTATTATTATTATTATTATTATTATTAGTAGTAGAAGTAGTAGTAGTAGTAGTAGTAGTAGAGTTTAAGTATAAGTAGCTCGTAGTATATGTAGTAGTAAGTATTATTATCTCCCTTCCTCATCCTCCTCCTTCCTCCCTCCTCCTCCTCCTCCTCCTCCTCTTCTCGTCCTCTCCCTCCTCCTCCTCCTCCTCCTCCTCCTCCTCCTCCTCCTCCTCACTCCTCCTCCTCCACCGCGTCCACCCTCCTCCTCCCCCTTCCCTCCTCCTCCTCCTCCTCCTCCTCTTGCCTTCTTTTTTCCTCTCCTCCTCTTCCTCCTCCTCTTCCTCCCTCCTCCTCCTCCTCCTCGCCTCCCTCCCTCCTCACTCCCTCCTACCTCCTCCCTCCTCCTCCTCCTCCTCCCTCCTCCTCCCATCCTCCTCCTCCTCCTCCGCCCTCCTCCTCCGCCGTCCTCCTCTTCCTTCTCCTCCTCCTCCTCCTCCTCTTCTTCCTCCTCCTCCTCCTCCTCCTCCGACCCAGCCCCGTGCGCATCTTACTCCAGACGCCACCGAGTGATGACAGCCGGGAGAAGCAATCCTGCCGGGGCAGCCGCGCATACCCTGAAATCCGAGGACATGACTTGTTCACTCCGGTGGTTTTTTGTTCTGGATTTAATTCGGCCTCCAGAGCCGGTGACCGGGCCCGGGGACCGTCAAGAGTGGACCCGGGACGGAAAACCGCCCCCGGGGGAAGGGGTCGGGGCCTCTGGGGCCGCGGGCCGAAAAAAACAGATCGGCGGAGGTGCGGGCACGAGTACGCGTAGCGGCGCTGGTGCGTTGACAGGGACGCCGTGCAAGGGACACCAGCGTTGTATGCAGAATGTGCTGCCACTGATGCTGCTGCATGTGGGGTGGCTAGATCGGTCTAGGACGGCCCTGAGTAGATCAGATCTGGCGGACGTCCAAGATTTTCCAAGACTCCCCTAGAGTGCCCAAGGCCCTGATCACCCAAGACAACTCAAGAGCCCTCGACATTGCCCCAAGAGACCCCCCAGCAGGCCGCTGAGAGGCCAACGACAGTTCAACGACATTACGCGCGTTTGCGTGAAAACTGCTTCCTTGCACCCGTGCTGGCACAAAATGGCCTCCATGGACACCGAAAAGACCCCCAAGCCGCTCCAGACGGCAGTCCAGCGGTCACAGATAAAAGGAGCCCAGGGGCACACGCAAATAATTATCCCATCAAAACAGCCTAACAGCCATGTGTATGAGCATATATGGAAGCATTCTTCTTTAGATGCATGTTCGGATTTGACTGGAAGCGAAACGCTGCGATCAATAGTGGACGCGTCTGCAAAGGAGGCACTACTATCAACGAGACAGCACATTTTTTTTGTGCTCATTCCAAACGAGACGCTGCTATGCAGGGGTGCAGGTGCAAACGAGACGCCGCTATCAATGGTTTTCGCCCCAAACGAGACACGAGTATCAATGGATTCAATTTCGAACGAGACACTACTACTTACTACTACGGATGCGTCTGGAAACGAGACGCCGCTACCAATAGTGGATGTCTCTGCAAAGGAAGCACTGCTATCAACGAGACAGCACATTGTTTTTGTGTTCATTCCAAACGAGACGCTGCTACCAATGGATGTAACTCCAAACGAGACACAGCTATCAATGGATTCGGCCTCAAACGAAAGGTGCCGAGGAGCACCGTATCTCACTGTCCACGGCTGCGCACGAGTGCAGGTTGAGAAGCACCGCGCGAATGCAGGCTGAGAAGAACCACGCGAATGCAGACGGCCAGGCTGAACAGCACCGCCACAAAGCAGGCTGCATCTCAGGGCTCCTCAAGCTCGCGCAGGCCAGCCCAGCGCCTGTCGGGCCTTCGCGCAGGCGATTTTTGTCGTGGCAGTCTTGTCTGCGAAGAATTCGTCGAAGGCCTTCGCGATCTGTTCTGGGGGGCCTGACTCGATGATGCTCCGGTCAGGCAAGCCGTGGCTCGAGAGTTGGCCGAAGCTCCGGGGCCGCGGCAGGCTGACATAGTAGGCCAGCCAAATGGACTCTTTCTTGGGTCCTGGTGGAAACGTCAATTGCACGATGAAGCCTGGGTCCGCCGTCTTGCCCTGCACGCCATGCAGAGTGCCCTGCTTCTTGGGCGGCACGGTCAACTGTGTCCTGGAAACCGTGATGGCCGGGCCATGGACGGGCCTGCGGGGTAATCGCGAGCACTCCACGCAGGTCAGGGCCGGCAGGCTGAGAAGCAATGCCAGCAGTCACCGGCGCGGCCTTCAAGAAGACCTCATCGCTGTCATCGATCTTGACATAGACGGCCTTGGGCATGTAGCGGAGTACCGCAACGCCATCCGAGACAACGGACGCGCGACCCTGCACCGGAGGCTCCAGAGCGCGCTGCTCTATGCCTACCACCTTGCCCGGCGTGCCGCGGACATACTTAGGTGGCAAGACGGACTCCGTCAGGATGACCTCCACGTCGAGGAAGAGCGGCAGCAGCCCCGGCATTTTTCCAGTAGCGCCGATGTTGGGCTCCGCGCGCATCTCGTCGAAGTCAGGCTTCGCGAGGCGCGCAGCTGGTCTGTCGACTGCCGGCGCGTAGAAGAGCAGCTGGCCAGCATCGTGCGCATCAAGCTTGGCCTGCGCATGCATGGCGTAAAAGACGACGCGCCCCTCATATGCCGACTCGTACCAGCCTCGGGCTGCACGCAACCGGTGGCCCCACTGGGGTTGCTGAGCGGCTTCGCTGGTGCTGGCAGCAGGCTGACCAGCACCGCTGGAGCTAACGATCTGTTTTGAGGATCGCTCGCCAGCTCTCGTCAGAGATCTTTTCGCCGCCTGGAGTCCTTATGGCGTGAAGGACCTCGACCTGCAGCGGGTCTGTGAAGCGCTGCATCTGCACGAAGTCGACGACGAACTCGAAGTCGGCGAGCAACTTCCGAGCCTGTTGGCGCTCGTAGGACTGGCCCGTGTGAGGCGCCAGCAGGGAGGCGCTGGCGGGGACCGGCGGTAGCTGGTAGAAGTCCCCGCAAAGGATCTTCGCTGGCATGCGCCCCCACGTCTCCTGCGGGAACATGCATTTGGTAGAACCGAGGTTGTAGCGCAGCGCCCTGCCGTAGGTCGTGCGCAGTGCATCCGCATGCAGCAAGGGCCCCGGCACAGCACCCAGCCTATCGATCACGTCGACGCCGAGTGTGCCTGTGAGGCGGTCGAGCTTTTTCTGCGTCTGCGAAGTCAAGCGCAGCCTGGCGGTCTGCAGGGAGTCCGACATGAGGATGCCGCTGGAGGAGTGCAGCGTCCCCCCGCGCGGGCCGAGGTTGTGGGCCGCGTGGTTGGACTGTGTTTTGGCGAGGTAGCCGTGCTCGCCGAAGTAGATGATGGCCATAGGCTCCACCACTCTGGAGAGGGCGCGCGTCTTGCCGACGCCGCCTCCTCCGAGCCAGATTGCTCTGTGGTTGCCCGTCGCGGACACCGCGGGGAGCAGATGCGTTGTCTTGTCTGGCCTGCCGTCAAAACGTTTCTGCAGGGACAGCGCGAACAACGCCGCCGCGTCAATCTGCTCCTCCGCGCACTCTGCATCAGCGACCAGCTTCCACGCAACAGCCGCCGGGCCCTGCATGGCCAAGAGCTGCGGCACGAGCTCCGGCTGCGCGTCCTCAGCAGCAGGCTGAGGAGCACCGCTGGGTTGCCAATCGCCCCCAACATCGGGCAAGGTCTCTCCATCCGGACTCGCTTGCTTCTTCTGGAGCGCAATGCTCTGCCGCTGTAGGGCCAGCATGTCAAAGAAGCTGTCGTCCAGCCGCGTGCCCAGATGCTCCCGCGCGCCGCTGCAGGCTGGCTGCGCAAAGCTCGCCTGCAGCATGCCGCCGTACGCTCGGTCCAGGTTCTTCAACTGCTTATCCGCGTAGCTGAGGCGGCTCTTCTGGCTCAAGCGCTGCAGTTGGTCTTGCTGCAGAGCCAGCTCGGTTGCTCTGGTGTGGTCCCGCAGCGGAAACATGGAGAACTCGGTAATTTCGGCGCGTCCTCAACTTCCTCCTCTGCGTCGCT